AAGTCTCGTGTATGTTTTTTTCTTTTTGTCTTATAAATTGTAAAAATGATAAGATGACCTTTTTTTCATTTCAATGAAAGATATCGAATAATACATATGTCCTTACGGAATAATAAAGCAAACATGACGATCATCAATAGGTTTCTGTCTGTATGGATTTTATATACATTTAGTTACTATGAAACTGCTATTCTGTTACTCATTTTTATTGCGAATACTGAGAACAAAATGGTAATTATGTGCTATATTCGTTTGGTTATTTAACTGTATCAAATATAGATTTTATTTTGCTCAAGAAAATAGTTTTACTTTCGTGACACCCTCATTTAAATTCGAACTTTTACCATTGCTGTGAAATTAAGAGACAATAATTCTTGTCTTTCATTTTTGCTTATGTACTTTGTCTATATACCATTTTTGGTTTCTTTGTTGAAAGAGTGATTTGTTTTTAAAGTGATTAAGATTACAATGTTGACTGTTGTATCCCAATTTTTGACGTTTTTACATATTATGTCTGTTTGTTTTGCTCACACATTGTTGTCAATATAATGGAATTCAATGCGACTGTCATACAAGTGAGAGGTTTTGCTAGCTACAAAACATGGTTTAATCCACCATTTTCTACATAAGGAAATGCCTGTACCAAGTCAGGAATATGACAGTTGCTTTCCATTCGTTAGATGTATTTGAGCTTTTGATTTTGCCATTTTATAATGGACTTTCCGTTTTGATTTTCCCTTGGAGTTCGGTATTTATGTTATTATACTTTTGACTCAAACAAAAACATATATCATCAGTAAATTGCAAATTTAATGGTGTCTCTTGACGAATGGTGTGATAAAAGTATTTTTGTTCCTCACTGAATCCCTAACATCAACAAAAAATTACACAAAACGCTTTTCATACGTTTACTCTAAAATGTATACAAACATGCAGATTATTACATATTTATAGAATCGTATTCAGATTTTAAAACAGAGAAATTGTCAATTAAGCATTGAAGTATATAAATTATTATCCTCGGCTTAGTATATTTCTAGGAGTTTGATTGCTTAGCGCACGTTGTTACAAAACCCATAGCCCCTGGGTGTTGCTAACCCATATCCCCGGACGTTGCTACCCATTACATCGGGGAATTTCACGCGCGTTTTCCTTAGTTCCATGGTTGTTCCTTATGAAATATCGAATTCTGTAGATTTTCCATGATGTCTGTATAATTAAATACTTAATCCAGTAACGATTTTATCTTATTATATCGATTATTTGCACTCATTTAAGTAAATGCATCACTATGCAGCCACATTGTCAATGAATGGTACTACTGACCTAGCTATGCAAATGACCCACGTTGACGTCACACCGTTTATGATGTAACTCGCACAACATTGCGCGCCAAATTCGACCCATTTCAGTTTCTCTGTCTCTAGTTTAAACACGTCTTATATTTGTCTACCTGCAGGGTTCTACCAAAGGTAGTACCCTACACCCCGTTAAAAATATGTCAAATTCCCAAATTTCAATAAAAGATATTTAAAAAATGAAAAAAAAACGTTGCTTTCACGTTAAACTTTGTGGTCGAATTTCTCTAAATATCGCCAGATTTAGACTAAGACCGGGGATAAATTCGTTATCTACGTTCATATCCGTAGATATGGATAATTTAACACCCTTCAGTACCCTGTACACCCTTCGGCTGCGCCTCAGGGTGTACTTGAATACTTCAGGGTGTTAAAACATCCATATAGACGGATATGAAAGTAGATAACTTATAATATACTACCAATCAGGTTTCTAAAAATATTCTTCGTTTAAAATGTGTTTGACTTAAATAAACAGCCGAGCGGTCATAATCTATTCAAGATTGATCAGACCCAGATAAGAAGGCACACATCAGTTATTATACACAGTTAACGCGAGGGTACCCAAATTGCACCTATTTTGACAGTTTTCTTACCTACGTTTATTTATGACCCAGACAAAATGCATAGAACGTAACGTTGACCAATAAAACATGGAAATGTTGTCAATGTGAGATTGGCCCTATCAGATGGACATGAAGACCCCACAAATTTAGTTGACCTAGTGCCTTTACTATCCGATATAAAAGTTAATGCAAAGAGGTCATATGAATGAAGGACTAAAACATCACAAGGTACAAGGAGTAAGCGATAAACTATTATCACCCCCAACACTGCACTCCATAACTCGAAGCTGAGTCTATATCAGGCTAGCAAGTGTGTATTCTGTTCTTTGTCCTTGTTTTCCTTCTTATTTGTTCTCCCACTGTGTTGATATATATCATTTAGATACATATGGTTTTTGAATATTCAATGATCGTTTTTTTTTAATTAACTTGATTTACCAAGTTTATTTCGTCTTCAAACTTTTTTTATTCTAGGTCTTGAAATGTGAATATTTTGAAGTTATAAGTCTGGTACCTTTCATGATAATCTCTAGTCACTTTATCATAAGCATTATATTATATTGCTCAGTCTTTTGTTTTCTATAATGTTTTTTGTGTACTATTGTTTGTCTGTTGGTCTTTTTCTTTTTTATCCATGGCGTTGTCAGTTTATTTTCGACTTATGAGTTTGACTGTCATCTGGTATCTTTCGCCTCTCTTTTATAATGTCACAGTACCCAAATTGCACTCATTTAGTAAAAATAGCAGTGGAAATCCTGCATGTTTTCTTAGAGACTAAACAATTTATACTTTCATGATTTGACATTATGCACGTCTTCCGACAGATGTAAATATATTTGAATATACACAAAACGTTCACAGTATGTATCAACAGATGAAGTGTTCACTGAAAAAGTAAAATCCACGGAAACGTCGCCATGCGACGTCTACAAAGTAAATCTAAGCATAGATGCAATTTGGGTACTCCATATTACAGAATCATGGATTGTTTGGAGGTCGGTTCAAACCCATTTTTCGATGATTTAATATGGATTCAAATTAAATTGGTGGAACTATATAGTAAATAAGGATACATGTACAAAACAAACACAGAATGGGAAATTTTGTCTGGGTCATAAATAAACGTAGGTAAGAAAACTGTCAAAATAGGTGCAATTTGGGTACCCTCGCGTTAACTGTGTATAATAACTGATGTGTGCCTTCTTATCTGGGTCTGATCAATCTTGAATATATTATGACCGCTCGGCTGTTCATTTAAGTCAAACACATTTTAAACGAAGAATATTTTTAGAAACCTGATTGGTAGTATATTATAAGTTATCTACTTTCATATTCGTCTATATGGATGTTTTAACACCCTGAAGTATTCAAGTACACCCTGAGGCGCAGCCGAAGGGTGTACAGGGTACTGAAGGGTGTTAAATTATCCATATCTACGGATATGAACGTAGATAACGAATTTATCCCCGGTCTTAGTCTAAATCTGGCGATATTTAGAGAAATTCGACCACAAAGTTTAACGTGAAAGCAACGTTTTTTTTCATTTTTTAAATATCTTTTATTGAAATTTGGGAATATGACATATTTTTAACGGGGTGTAGGGTACTACCTTTGGTAGAACCCTGCAGGTAGACAAATATAAGACGTGTTTAAACTAGAGACAGAGAAACTGAAATTGGTCGAATTTGGCGCGCAATGTTGTGCGAGTTACATCATAAACGGTGTGACGTCAACGTGGGTCATTTGCATAGCTAGGTCAGTAGTACCATTCATTGACAATGTGGCTGCATAGTGATGCATTTACTTAAATGAGTGCAAATAATCGATATAATAAGATAAAATCGTTACTGGATTAAGTATTTAATTATACAGACATCATGGAAAATCTACAGAATTCGATATTTCATAAGGAACAACCATGGAACTAAGGAAAACGCGCGTGAAATTCCCCGATGTAATGGGTAGCAACGTCCGGGGATATGGGTTAGCAACACCCAGGGGCTATGGGTTTTGTAACAACGTGCGCTAAGCAATCAAACTCCTAGAAATATACTAAGCCGAGGATAATAATTTATATACTTCAATGCTTAATTGACAATTTCTCTGTTTTAAAATCTGAATACGATTCTATAAATATGTAATAATCTGCATGTTTGTATACATTTTAGAGTAAACGTATGAAAAGCGTTTTGTGTAATTTTTTGTTGATGTTAGGGATTCAGTGAGGAACAAAAATACTTTTATCACACCATTCGTCAAGAGACACCATTAAATTTGCAATTTACTGATGATATATGTTTTTGTTTGAGTCAAAAGTATAATAACATAAATACCGAACTCCAAGGGAAAATCAAAACGGAAAGTCCATTATAAAATGGCAAAATCAAAAGCTCAAATACATCTAACGAATGGAAAGCAACTGTCATATTCCTGACTTGGTACAGGCATTTCCTTATGTAGAAAATGGTGGATTAAACCATGTTTTGTAGCTAGCAAAACCTCTCACTTGTATGACAGTCGCATTGAATTCCATTATATTGACAACAATGTGTGAGCAAAACAAACAGACATAATATGTAAAAACGTCAAAAATTGGGATACAACAGTCAACATTGTAATCTTAATCACTTTAAAAACAAATCACTCTTTCAACAAAGAAACCAAAAATGGTATATAGACAAAGTACATAAGCAAAAATGAAAGACAAGAATTATTGTCTCTTAATTTCACAGCAATGGTAAAAGTTCGAATTTAAATGAGGGTGTCACGAAAGTAAAACTATTTTCTTGAGCAAAATAAAATCTATATTTGATACAGTTAAATAACCAAACGAATATAGCACATAATTACCATTTTGTTCTCAGTATTCGCAATAAAAATGAGTAATAGAATAGCAGTTTCATAGTAACTAAATGTATATAAAATCCATACAGACAGAAACCTATTGATGATCGTCATGTTTGCTTTATTATTCCGTAAGGACATATGTATTATTCGATATCTTTCATTGAAATGAAAAAAAGGTCATCTTATCATTTTTACAATTTATAAGACAAAAAGAAAAAAACATACACGAGACTTTAAATGATTATTTATTTTTTTCAAATCTGCAGACGGTGTACTAGTTAAAGTTGAAGGCAGTGCTCAGTTGATGAAACCTTTGCTCTATTTTCCCATTCCCATATTTGCTAATGTACGAAATTCTGAAATAAAAATTAATCTGTTTGAAAAAAAGTTGGTTTTAATTCATTTGCCTATTAAAAAACTAAACAAAACAACTAAAAGGTGTACATATATATTTCGAATTAGTAGATTGTAAACTCCTTTGACATGATGCCGTTCTCTTTTCCCGATTATAATATTCCCGATAAGATTTATCAAGTTTTACTTGCCATGAGCAGCATGACGAATGCAGGAACAGCTTACCCTTCAAGACTAGAACGGTTCTTCAATAGTTTTGAATGGGTGTTCATTGTAATTGTTATGTCATGAGTATTTCTTTTGTTTCAATATGCCAACGCAATATGCCGTTTAGATATATACAAATCTACTGAATGATGGTACAGTACATACTAGATATTTAGTTCACTGCAATACACAAAACAATTATCGTCTTTAATAACACGGTTTTCTTTAAGCTGCATTTTTTTTGTCTTCATTTCTTTTTGTTAACAAAGTTTGTTATTTATCCAAGCTATAACTGTAATATTGTAGTTTGGCTACACTTTTATTGGATTTGTAGTTTTTAGGTATTTGTCAAACTTGGCTTTCAAAGATTTGGGTTTAAGCGTTCCTGTGTAAATCCAGAAAAGCGCTTCGGAGTCACGAAAGTTATAAAGTGTAATCCAAACGACAAATATGACCACAAAGACAAGCGAATAGACTGCAGAAAAGGCGATTACATTTTTTTTGTATTCGTTTTTATTTTAAAAGAATAATGCTTTCTGAAGTAAAGATTTTGACTCCTGAATCAAGATACCCCCTTTTATAGCCTGAGATAAACAAGGCAATACACATACCTCCAATTTCCAATTGATTATTTCCATTTGTGTCAATGAGAGTCATTGCTTGGTTGAACATAGTTGACCACTCGGATTTGCTGTATATGAGACCAGGAATATTAGCATTAGCATAAAAAGTAGAAAATTCGTTGTTACTGATGTGACCATTGCGGTTTGCGTCTATCCACCGAAAAGCCAGTTGCACGGAATCAGTTCTTTTTTCAGTTGTTCTCTTATTCACCATCTGGAATGCAAAATTTGAATTAAGAAAAACTCCGTATATTTATATATTTTAATCATGGAATCGACCCACCTGCCACGTACCATGTGTTCAAGTTACAAATCCATCGTCAGCGATTGAAATGGGATAGAAAGGTTACTTTTGAGTTCGACTTATCGACAGCTTATTTTCTAGATGTATGTATAAATAAGCTAAGCGTCAAGGTAGAAAGTCATTTTACTAGGAAAACTAAAATAAGGTTAATGTTATAAATTTAAAACATTTACTTGTGATACAGAACCGCTTCATTCTCAAGTGTCATCATCTAAAAGAGGGACGAAAGATACCAGACGGACAGTCAAACTCATAGATCGAAAACAAACTGACAACGCCATGGCCAAAAATTAAAAGACAAACAGACAAATAATAGTACAGATGACACAACATAGAAATCTAAAGACGAAGCAACACGAACCCCACCAAAAACTGGGGTCGATCTCAGTAAACAATGGGGTCATGTAAAGACCGATAAGTTAAAATTCCTTCCAACAAGTTCATGAAGTAAAACGTTACTTATATTTAAGAATGTGATAGGGTAAATACATTAAATGTAAATAAGCAAATTTTGAATTAATAGGAATTACATAGTTCTAAAATTGTGCCCCGAATCTTGTGATAACGATAAGCTGTCTATTTCATTCTCAAGAAGAATAATCTAATCCCTGTTATAATCCCTGTTTGACTCAGGGGTAATATTATAATGTATATAGAGACAACCACACTTAGGAATATCGCAATATTCACTAGATTAGTGTGAATATATTTTTATAGTTTGACAATAAAACGATTGCTTCATGCTTATCGCTATAACCTAACGACTACAAATGAATTAGTAAAGAATTGCTAAGGTTATCTCATGTTCAAATAAACGGATTCGATTAGGTAATTGTGTTTCTTTCTCTGCATGCAGAACGCAAAAGTAAAAATACTGTAAAACTTCGAAATATCACAAATATGACAGCCGTTCTTGTGAAATGTTACCTTGTAACCCATCAGACTAGTTACGAGGCTATAAGTCAGAGGTGTAGCACACATTTCCTACGATTGACGTGAATTACATAAAATGTAGTAGATTTGTTCTGGACATTTGAAAGTCATTAGATCAGACTGAATCATAGACGGATGTTGAACGCACAGTGGAAATTCAGGTTCATTACCTGTCAATGTCAAATGAATTAACCATGTTTGGTATTTCACCCTTTAAGTCGACTTCATTGTCCATGTTGTCATACAATGTTGTTTGCCTAAGGTTTTTTATGGCAATGAACAAATGTTACCGAATTATGTGAAAGAATGTCAAAAAAAGTGTTTATTTCTCTTTTAAAAAAATAAAAATAAAAAGTCAAGCTTGTGTTGAAGCTACAGACACTACAAACCAGTAAAAGTCTGAAATGGCCTATATTTGTACTCGACTGTACTGATTTTTACTCGACCAGTCTGAATTGGTCTGAAATTTACTTGATAAAACTCGACTGTAGTCTGAACCATACTTAACAGTCTGAACTTGTACTCGACCAGTACTTAACCATTTTATTTTCGTCTGAACCATGCTCGACCTAGTCTGAACCATACTCGACCTAGTCTGAACCATTCTCGACCTAGTCTGAACCATACTCGACTAAGTCTTAACCAACCTAGACCTAATTTTTGTATCTATCTATTGTATTTCATCAATTTAGGAACTGTTTTTAACAGCTATTTCCCCTGGCTAGAAATTTGAACAACAATTTGAAATTCAAAATGTATTCAACATGTTCATATGGCATATTGAAACCAAAATTTCACAATAAACATAATATAAATTCAACACCATATTTATCAACACTTACATATATATATCACCTTTAAAATAAAAATAAAACAAACTGATCAAATAATCTCAAACCGAATTGGGACTAACATTTTCAATGTTATTCAAATTTTTTTGAATGTTTCAGATATATTTTATGGTTACTGGACAATTTTCACCATTTACTTAAGCCTTGTATAGATTTATGGTGTCAGTTGAGTTTAGTTAATAATGCAGTGAACATTTTTTTTATTAAAATATATTTAAAATAGTATATAAAGCAACTTAATAAATTTAAAAAATAACACCTTTGTTTTGTAAAACCAAGAATTTAAGATAATCATGATAATAGAACTTCCATAGCAATCCTTGATAACCATTTAAAAAAGGAAATGTGTTCCAAAGCTGCAGAAAAAATTTATTTCAATTAAATTTAAATAACTTTTGTCAAAATTAAAGACATGGCATACAAGAAGCACTTTAATAAGGTTTATTTATCTCAGTACATGTGTGTTTTACAGGTAAAAAGAAAGCCCTTTTTTTCTTAAACTCGTGTATTACTTATCTAGTGAAAGGCCTTGCAATTTAAGTTTAACAGGATGTTGCAATTTTTAATGAATGTTAATTAGAAATTAATACTCTCTGACCAGGTGTGATCTTTTAATGAGTTTGCCCCAAGCAGGAGGTATTACTTTATAAATCAGAAGAAAAAATTTATCTATTTCTTTAATTTTTTTATCCCCTTTTGATATATATTATATATAATATATCCCAAATTATAACAAAAATGGATATATTTCTAATATAAGGTTAAACAATTTCAGTGATTTTTTGGCTGTTGTTACCTCATTAAAAAGATAATTATATAACTATTGTATATAACCATGAAACCTATATAGTTTTTCTTAAGGAATTTAGGAAAATTAAGTTTAAAAAAAAAAACACACATGCCAAACAAGAAGCACCTTATTAAGGTTTTATTACTCTCAGTAAAGGTGTGGTTTTTAGTTAAAAGAAAATTTTTTTTTTAACAAAACTCTAAAACTTTAAAATTAATATAATTAAATTATTATATAAGATAATTTAATTTAACTATCTCTATTTGATAAATCTGAGAATCATGTAAGGATGTAAAAATATATTTTTATATATATCTTTATTTTATTGTGGCTGTTTTCATTGTCAGAAAAAAAGAAATTAATTTTAACAGCTAACATTTAAAAAAAATATAGGTTTTTTGGTCAAGTATGGTTCAGACTGGTCGAGTATTGTTCAGACCTTTGGTCGAGTATGGTTTAGACTGAAAAAATTGGTGGAGTACAGGTCGAGAATGGGTTAAGACTGTTTCAGACTGGTCGAGTAATAGTTCAGACTATTTTCAATGGCAAAGATAAGGGTCAAGTACAAATCAGTACGGTCGAGTATGGTTAAGACTGGGGTCGAGTAATGTCGAGTAAAATTCAGACCAATTCAGACTGGTCGAGTAAAAATCAGTACAGTCGAGTACAGATATAGGCCATTTCAGACTTTACTGGTTTGTAGTGAGATAGTACAATATATTGAAAACATTATGAAGTTAAAACACATGATTATCTTAACTTAATGGGGACTAAATCAATAAATTTAAAAATAAAGTCTTAGGAGAATGTAAACATTTAAAATTGAGAATGGAAATGGGGAATGTGTCAAAGAGACAACAACCCGACCATAGAGCAGACAACAGCCGAAAGCCACCAATGGGTCCCCAACGCAGCGAGAAACACCCGCACCCGAAGGCGTCCCTCAGCCGGCCCCCAACAAATATGTACACCAGCCCAGCGACAACGGACGCCACACCAAACTCCAAACTATACACAAGAAACTAAAATTAAAAATGACACAAGACCAACAAAGGCCAGAGGCCCCCGACCCGGACAGGCGCAAATATGCGGCGGGGCCAAACATGCCTCCTGAGACCCTAACCCTCCCCCACACCCCAGCCAATGTAGAAAAAACAAACGCACAAAAGTACGCACAGCAAAACTCAATCTAAGAGAAGTCCGAGTCCGATGCCAGAATAGGAAACAAAAGAAAATAAACAAAATGACAACAACACATAAATAACAACAGACTATCTTTTATGAGTTATCACATTAAAAACTTCAATAAAAGAAAAGAAAAGTTGAAGTACGGAACTTATTTTTCTTGAAAACGGAAATGAATTGCATTTCTATATTGCAACTTGCGAATTATAGTATGAATTTATACCTATTTGAGATCCTAAACTGTCCCCATGATTTATAATCCTGCAAACTACTGAAACGGCAAATGAAAATTATGTCATGCATTTGTTCGACGAAACAAAAAAATAAACGGAAAACCATATTCTTAGGAGGGGTAAATATTGACAACCGAAATGAATGGAATTTCGGCCTAGTTTGAGGAAAAGAGAGCACATAAAAGGGTAAAGAATCTTAATTTTTCACATGGTGACAAAAGAACATACAAACTAAGCAGCAACAAAAAGAAAGTGTATCAAATAATTTGTTAAGTAATGCTTACCTTTGATTTCTGAATCCGTTATGAGTGACAGAGGTGAGACTATCTAGGTTTTATACAAAGTGACATGATTATCAAGTTCATTAAACCTTTTAGTTAAATGTTAATAACTAGAATTATGAATGTAAAAAACGGACAATAATAGTTCTTAAACTGCGGAAATAATCAAAATTACAAGATAAATTCCAATAATAAATAATAATTTATATTATGTTTTCAAATTTAAACAGGTAATTTCAATTAGATCGAGATAATGACTTATAATACCATCTGTGGTTTATGACGAAATTGGTTTCTATTTGTTTACAATGTCGCACCAAAACTTTGTTTAAGGTTACTGTGATACAACCCGCGTATCAGGTTTTTCCTTAAAAAAAACCCGATTTCATGTCATGGGATATTTCATTACATTATTTGGTAATTGTGCTTCTTCCCTCACGCACATAATTCAGGAACAAGACATATGACTTGTTGAAAAGGAGTTAGAGTAATGTATTTTGGTAGGGAGTCAAAATTTCCTATGGAGAGTTACCTGCGAAGCTGGTGTGCTTGTC